CAATAACAAAGTTAAAATAATTAATATAAAAGTGCAACCATCAAGACCAATTTTACAAGTCGGATATTGTAGTTACATTTATCAGTAGACAGTTATCTGTATTGTATGCAGTTGGACATCAGAAAAGAGAACTCAATCAATGGACGTGGGTAGCCTCGATCACTCAGTCTTGGAATGTATACGACTCCTGTATTCCGGTATCCTATTGACAGATGATTGTGTTTTTAGGTGTAAGTCTTCCCGTGGTAGTTAATCCAGTCATACATAAAATAGTTGGATGGTTAGGTATCGCGTGTAGTTATTTCTACAGGTATAGTATTCTTTAAGTATAATTAATATATAAAATGTCTACTACAACATCGCCGAGTACTGTACAAAGTACATGGATGAAACCAAACACGAAACTACAACGCAAACAAAAGATGGCCGACCAGTGAGAAGCGGAACTCCAGTTATCACGGTCTGGGATTATAAATCAATTTGGTAAGTGAGAGCCGAGAGGCCTACCGAGCCTCACGTACTCTTGCGTACGTCCGACTCAAAATTCAGGAGGAAGAAAAGACGAGGTATGTCCCTACTAAAAACAACGGAAGACGTAAGGTGTCGGGGGCGATGCGCGACGACGTACAAAGTGTATTTTAAATAAACGCACAGTAAAATATTTAGTAAATATATATAAAAAAAAAAAACCAACCGGTGGGTTCGTTATGACTCGAGAACGACGATCGATAAATAATAAGAGTGTAGGTAACGACGGGTCGCGACAATATAGGTAAAGACGGACGCGACAATATAAGTAAAGACGGACGCGACAACAGAAGTAAAGACGGTTGCGACTCAAGCTTGCAATGTCGGTTTGCGTATAGAATATAGAAGGAGCAGCGCTCGCCGCAGTCGTTACGTGCCGCCGTGCCGGCGCTCGATTAGCCGGTGGCACGGAGAGGGGGAAACGCGGATGCGGTTGCTTCCCGCAAGGAACATATATAAAAACACAGCTGGTCGCGACGGACAACGCCACAGAACAATATGGTAACGCTATAATCACAGATCTATGCTATAATGTTGACGCGGAGGGAGTGGAACAGACGAGCCTACAAATGCCATAGATCCGGTGGTAAGTATTACTGTTGCGGAGCCACTTCATGTATTTATTCGATATCTACGTCGGTGATAAGATAACATTCAAATAATTACCGCGTGAATTTAAATATTATAATCATTATTATTAATATAAGTAAATAATAAAATTGAGTATTGTAATTTTTATATCCTAAATCTAAATTATTATACTTACAACAACAAAAAAAAAAAAATGTAATAATGAAAATTCTAACATGTCCTACAAAAAAAAAAAAAAATAATAATAATTTATTAAACTTTATCTTTATACATTGTCCATGTATAGGAATTCCCGCGTTGTATATAATTGTATCTTTAATATAGTTTACTATCAATGATCTTTATTACAATCAAGTGTCACTTCGAATATGGGCCGTATTATTATTACCACCATATATCGACCTACACAATTTGTATTACTGTTAATACTGTAGTCTTTAGTATCTGAACATTAATGCTGCAGGTATTTATTTTGTTGCTAGTGTATAAATGTCATAACATTATTAAAAGTATAAGTAATATACGTATAGTATTAATTATTTTGTATAATATGTCTTTTGTGGCGCCAAAAAACAAGGCAAATAAATAAAACTAAATTTTCTTAATTTTAGGATTTTTTAGCAATAGCATTAAAGATAAATTTGAATTATTAATTATTATGAATTATGTTCGGGTAATGAACTGTAAAAAAAAAGTAACAAACAATATTGAATTCAAATTAATTATATTAATTTTTTTTTGTATTATATTTTTGTAGGACGTATTAGATAAAGTTTAATAAATTATTATTATTATTATTTTTTTTTTTCGTAGAATTATCATTCTTACATTTTTTGTTATAAGTATAATAATTTAGATTTAGGATATAATAATTACAATACTCAATTTTATTATTTACTTGTATTAATAATAATGATTATTGATTATAATATTTAAATTCACGCGGTAATTATTTAAATGTTATCTTATCACACAAGTAGATATCGAAGTAATGCATGAACAACAGTGGCTCCGCAACAGTAATACTTGCCACCGAAAGTATGGCATTTGTAGGCTCGTGTGGAACAGTGCCACGTAGTATCGCCTCTTCATCGTGAACGATTACTTTGTTAAGGCTCTAATAGATAGCGGCCATTTTCTTTCCAAAGCTGATAAACGATAATATAGCTAGTCATGTATTTATTAAATTTGTTTTGTGAAATTGAATTTTGGTAATTAATGAATAAAGATAGGAAAATATATATTTGAACGATTATTAACGATTTTTCATAGACGTACTTGTTTTGATAAATATTTGTATAATTTGTATTAATTCCAATTGGTAAGAAAATGGCGGCTCTCTTTCCCTGTTCTTAAAGAGCAATACTTTTGTTCGTTCCATCTGTACATAGTTAGAAATTACCAAATGGTCCCCAACAGTAGTAATTCTGTTCGTTCTACCCACAGATATATAATATAATAGTATTATGTTATTATATATCGTCAGACTAATTCGTAGATGTTCTATCTCCATAATATTGTCTATTTTTCACGAGGGACAAAAAACCATAGACATAAAAATAAAATATAATTATAGTATCAAGGTTTCTTGTTGGTGTATAACAACTAACAAGTTGTAAGCATGACAAATTAAAGTGTGCATCCTCAGTTGATTAACCTGTGATGAATGCATATTGATTATTTGAAAAGAATTTGTTGTTTACTAGGAATTCCATAACACGAGTTTTTATGCACTTTTCAAATATTTTGGATATTGTTAAAGAGAAGGCAATCGGTCTATAATTAAAACATATCATCTTATTGCCTGATTTATATAAAGGCAATATTACACAATTTTTAAGGAACTAGGATAGGGACTATTGATAATGGATAGGATATAGTTGAATAGGTTTTTTAATAATGCGTTTGTTATATTATTTATGACATAGGGCGATGAGGGTTTTATTTTATATATGTGTTTTTGTATTTAATGTTCAGAGATTGGATTTAAGAAAATGAATTTGGTATATGGCAATTTTTATTCATTAAATGCCAGTCTAATTTTTCAAAGGGATTCTCATGAATGGTATGTTCTATGTTTCTTCCTACTTAAACAAAAAATGAATCAAACTCATTTACTATTCAAATAACTATCACTAGGGCTATGATTGTAAAATATTTACATAGGTACCTAATAATTGAATCATACAAATTGAATATGGTTCAAAAATAATTATAACTGTTTACAATGATAAAAAAGGTGCTCTGCTATACAGTAGGTTAAAAGTGGGTCACTGTATAATGTATGGTATTAAATTTGAATTCAATGATATAATATCATTGTATTAGAAAAACAATTCTGAGAGGAGATGGTATGTCAGTCTTGGTTTAAGACATATTATATAATTATCTATGGTATTAAAAAAAATAGACCTATAATAATAAATTCCAAATTAATCATATTAAAATATCCATTAGTTAGCTATAACGCGTTATACATCAACAACAAACCCTGATACTATCATAGATATATAATAGTGTACTTTAGAAGTTTCAAGTACCCATGAATAATATTATAAAATGACTATAAAAATAAACTGTGCTAATATATTTTTTAGATTTTTTGGTAACAGAATTAACTATTTACGTGGAATCTTTTTTAAATGTTCAATCCTTACATATAAAAGTTGAACATTTTATAAATTTTTTTCTAAAAATATCGATAAAATGTTATTTGTTGGTTAATAAAGCTTGAAAATTGAATAGAAGGCTCCTAATATATTGTTTCAAAGGCAGATGAAAAAAATTAAAAATCTGTAGCCACAATTTTTTTTTTATAACACGTAAGAATTTTTTTTTTACATAATTTAATTTGTTAAAATTTTTACGTCACACCCTTTGAGAAACATTATTAAATAATTAAAAAGAAATTTTTTTTTTTGCAAATTTTTCTGTAATAAAAATATAAAAATATATATTTAAACATTATCTGCAAATAACACATTTTTTTTCTTTAATCAAAATTTAAACCATAGCAAACAAAACTACATAATATAATATTTTACTTATCAATATAAATTGTGTTGTGTATAATCATTGATAACCATCAATACATTTTTAGATATCCAACTAAAATGTTGGTATCTGACCAGGATTTCCTTGGTGTACAGTAGAATTAAAATTGAGCCAAGTATAGTAGCCAAGTATGGTTTATTTTTTATGAATTCTTATAATATAATATGATACACATTTGTTTGTTTATTATAAAATTATGTACTGACTCAAAACATAACAATGAATATATGTTAAATAATATACCTATAACATAAGTAAACTTCTATAATTTTTGTAAAAACTAAACATGGTATACAGCATACTTTAATTCACTAAAACTTGAGAGTCAATCGAAAAACTTAAAATTAAAAACATAATATGAAATTAACTATTTTTAACAAATTATTAAAATTAAGAATAATTTAACATTACATTTTTCTATGAATTGATTTTTTTACATCATACAAATTGAACCAAGCTTTAATAATAATTATACATTTCTTAAAAAATCACAAGTATTTTTAATGTCAACAAAAAAATTACAAAGAAGTTTGTAGAAAAATGAAGAAAATAAATGGTGTAAAAACAAAGTAATAGTATAAAATTAATTGTAAAAGGTTCATAATAATAGGCCAACAGTATATTTGTCACAATTACAAAAACATTCATTTTTATTAAATTATTACTATGCTAAAAAGTAGTATCACTTTCATAATGTAAATATCAATGAGGATTTAGATACAATCATACAACAACGAAAATTGAGCTAAACAAATACAATGACCAATTCATATTAACTGAATGCGCTATAACGCTATAAACTTGATTAATGGCGGATAAGAGAGTATTTATTGAGATGCATTGTTTATAGACTCGTTGATAAATTTCCTGAAAAATATAAAAACACATACACATCTTTAATAATGTATGATAAATTTTAAATATTGCTCGAATAGCCGATACTATTCAATTCTACGAATATAAGACTTAAGAAATTGTTTAGAAAAGTACTCTTAAAAATGGTCTGAAGTACTCACCTAGTCCGATTTCCTAATTCTTTGTCTTTACATATATGCTTATGTCCATACTTAAAATGTTTGTCGTACAACACTAATTCAGTAATAACATTTTTTCTAGATTCCAATAGATGTTTGTACAACTAAAACAAAAAAATAATAAAAAAAATGTATTAATAATTACTTGTTAGTTCTGGATTTATTGACAAAAATGCTTTAGTAAGTTTAATTATTATTGATTTATTATAAAATGTTTGCAACAACTAAAAAATAAAAACATATAAAAACCAACAATTGATTGCTTATATTTTAGGGTTAATAATATACAAATCACAAACAAAGATTTCATTTTAACTAAATTATGGATATTTACAATACTTAGAAGTTAAAATAATAATGAGAATGATGAGATTACCTTTTCCCCTAGTTGGTAAGGTATTACAATATCATCACGTGCATGTAAAATCAATATTGGCATTTTAGTATTCATCAAATTTGTCTCGGTATCAAAAATGATGTTATTTTTCTCAACTGGTTCAATGATGAAAAACTCAAACCAAGGCAACAGTCGATGAATCTATATTATTAATATCAATAAAAAATATTTCATAAAATATTAATTAATAAAAACAAAATCTTAATCATATTTTATAATGTATCACATTATAGTCATGCATTGTAGCTATAAGATGTATCTAACTTTTTAAAAATAAAATAATATTTCTAACTCTTGATCGGTAAGCTACAACAATAATACAATTATATTCTATATATATTATTATTAAATATCTATTATTCTAATATATATTCTAATTCTATCAATTCCTTCTAATTTCCAACTATACTTTGAAATATAATTTTATTACTTTCACCTTCACCATAGTTATTAAAAATTTGTAATAAAATTATCCATTAATTTAATTCAATTTAATTGCATCATGATAATAGGTTTAGTCAAAACAATGCTAAACATTTATGTTGATTTATTTGATTCAAAATACTTCAATAATAGTGTTAATATTTTACCTTGGTAAGAGGATATTCGCGTATTTCGTCACTCATTTTTGTAAATGGAGCTTCTAGTATGAGGCCATTCGGATAAAGACCTTCTTTTTCCAGCAGTGAATATGCATGTGCTCCAATTCTGCACAATTATTTTTTAAATTTTAAATGGTAACATTTTAATAAAATTAATAAATAAATCACAACGTTAAAATCTAAGTTTACCCAGTTCCTAAAGAATGACCCCAGCCAAAGATAGGGGTGCCATTAGCACGCTTATGCACCCATCTAAACATTTCCATTGCATCCGTAACCACGCCAAGCTCACTAACTTCAACGTCCGTAGAATCAGCATAACCTTAAGCAAAAAAACAATTAACATTTATAAATATAACAAATAAAATAAAATAAAAAAATTGTCCAAGTGACATACTTCTATAATCTACTGCTATTACATGACAGTTGATATCTTGAAGCACATGGTACAACTGAACCCGGTGTTCGTTCGCTCGGGTTCCTGAGTTGCCATGCATATATATCACGATTGGTTCACCGTGACTTAAAAGTTGTTCATAAGTTGAATTATCATTTTCATATTTTTCCAACAGATTTCGTGGTAAAACATGCCTAGAATATGGTAAAATAATCAAATACATTACACAAAACCAACAAGGCAATTTCTACACCTACATAACATTATATTCTAGTAAAATATTTGTAATTCGTAAACTATACAAAAACAGGAAAAGGTAATGTTTAAAAAATATTTTTCTTGTTACAGCATAAATGGAATTCCATTACATTTAAATTGTAGGAGTAAGCTCTAAACATTTAAATAACCTTGTAAAGTAGTTAACACACAATATGTCATTGTGTCAAGATCCTAAATAAATATTACTAACTTACACCTAATTTAAAACTAATAGAGGACTTTATATAGTGTAACATAAATAATGAATTAACTTCTAGTTAAATTTACTAGTGATATATATATGTATCAAGTATACCTGTAAATTGTAACCATTATAGTAGGTTTTACATTTATAAATTATTTTATCCATCTATTAAATTATAAAATATAAATAGAATAATAAATAACTGTTTATTTAATTTAATTTGAGTTGCCTCAAAATAAATGAGAGAGGTTACATACCAGACACCCAATGTCATATTGTCATTTGTTTTTATATGGAAATTTCTAGTTCCTCTGATACCATACTTTTCAGGATGACTATAATTAACTGAAGATGGCATACGAACTAAAATAAAAAAATTAATAGTTAAGTGTGGATAATGTAACTGTTAAGTAATGTTATAATCATTATTGATCTTATAATATTATAAAACAATTTTATAATGTTAACATTTTTTATAACTTATTCTAATAAATATTTTTGCTTTAAATTTATTATGTTCAATGTAGGCACTTTCAATAAAATAAAATAAAATAATTTGAAACAATCTTTTTTTAAAAATTATTTCAACATAGTCAATTTATGTGTCACATAAGACATAGTTTAACATAATTTATCTTATGTGACATATACATTGACTATACATATGGACAATAAACTATAAATGTTTAATCATAATATACAACTTTAGAATTGTGATAATTATTACAATTATTATCATGAACCAATATAACAGTGTTTTACATTTATTATGGATATTTTCTGTTTCTTTTATTATATACCTAGTGTCTCCCAAAAGTCCCATATTACCCTTAATTTCTAGGTGAAAAATCATGATATTTAAATGCGGATTTTTATAGTAATAAGTAATAAGGAGTAAATATGGAAATTCTAATAGAAAGGTCATAAGATTCAATTTTTTTATTTCAATAATTCAAACATTTAAAAAAAATCTTTTTGTACAATTAGGTTTTTTAATTTTTCAAATCAGTTCTTTTATTTATTATATTTTTTAAAACAGCTAAATAGTAATAATATATGAAAATTGAGCGAAATTGACCAAAATAAAAAAAAGTTTTTGATTTTCTAAGAATAATATCTAGTTATGGTAGCAAAACACGAATCACATGGTTTAATCAATTTCGCAGATTTTGTTCATGACAATCTACTTCATACCTATATTGATTTACATTTCAAAAATTATTTTTTACGTTTTCAGTACATGATTAAATTGACAACATAAAATGTTACTCCCAAAATAATGAAAGTTACAAGTCACAAAGCTCTGGAATTGAGTATCCAGATCATCAAAAGCCACCATACAATGTTAACCTATCAAGTATCAACATTCAACAGATTATTAATGACTTGATTTTTAGGTAACAGGTAAAATTGCAGTTTTAAGTTATTACTAATGTTAATATAAGTTATAATGTTGTAAGTACATTTTTCCAAAGCTCCATTAACAATTAGATATTTACAGATTATCATACAAAAAAATTGTGTTCCAATTGAGATTGATACAATCATGCAATTTGTGTTTTGCTAATATAATATAACTATTATTCTTAAAAAATCAAAAACTTGGTTAATTTCAAGTAAATGAAAAATATTTATTTTTTTCAACTTGAAAATTAAATAAAAAAAAATTTGGAATATTTGAAAAATTTTATTGTATAAAAACTTGTTTTAAAAGAAGCCTTTTGAATTAGAATTTCCATGCTGAATAATACTGTAAAAATAACTACATTTAAATATATTGATTTTCTATTGCAATATTAAGTGTGATACGGAATTTTTGGGACATCTGTACAGTACCAAATTAATAAAACAACTGTCCTGAATTCCGATAAAAATTTTTAAAATTATTTTACTGTTTGAGATGAAATGGATTTAGTGATCATACTTCAAATTTTTACTGGCGGGGCTGGGAGGGATGGTAAATAAATGTTTAGACTGTTTAGTTTGTAAATATAAATAAATATTTGATGTTCATTATTGATGTCTTTAAAACACTTATGTAGCAAGTTTTAAATTTTAAGACATTAGAAAAAACATTTGTGTCCTACAAAAGTACATAGTTAAAAAACAAATTTTTCCATAACAAATAGTTACAATATATATAATGTAAATTACTTAGGTATTTATAAAACTTGTAATAATATGTTTTATGTTGAAACATTTTAAGCATAATAAATATAAATAAAAAACGTCCCAAAATATATTTTAGGGAAAGACTAAGTTACCTTGCTATAAAATTAAAACATGTGTAACTGCAATCAATTAAGAACAACAAGTGTGCCATATGGATGAGAGTCGTTATTGCATAAAAATGTGTTATTAGTTTGAGTAAGAAATAGGAGATTATTAAAATTAATAAAAAATAATATTAACATAATAATAAATAATTATTAATACATAAAAATAGTATACATAAGTATAGTTTGAATAATGATCTGGTTATTGGTTAGTTATTAAGTATCATTGAATATTATAAATTATGACCGATTATCACGCAATATTATAAACACCAAGCTGAGATAGCTAAACATACATTTATAAATTTTAAAATAAAATAAAATAAATTGTTATTACCATAATTTAGAAATATCATTCCTCTTTGAAGTGATGGCGAATATCGAAAAACAATTGGTATAACTATGAATATGAGAAATAATATTATCGCAAAAAAACTTGATGTTATGCAGCATGTCCTAAAGAAATACAATATTAAATCAAACGTGTATACAATAATAAAAAAATTTAAAAAAAAAAACCATGATTGATTAAATGTATTATTTTTATTTTTAAAATATAGGTATTTAATTACAATATGGATGCTGATGAGGTTTTCTATTTTAAAAATTGTACATGCACAAATAACAATCTTAACTATAAATTATTTTATTCAAAAATAATCCACAATTTACACCTATGTTGTTTACAATCTACATTAGGTTCTTTCATAAAGTAAAAATAATAATAAAAATGCTTAAATTTGTTTATTGGTACCTAATTTATTTATCACAAATATCCAAGCAAATATTATACATTATATATACACTATACCAGCGGTTCCCAAATTGTGGGCTGCAGCGCCTTGGTGTCTTTACAAGGTTGCCGCTTTGCCAAAGAATTTTATGATCCCAAAATAAATTTGAGAACCTAACCATGGCGGTGACGGAAATAATTACGATTATGTAAATAAATAAATTTATATATATTTATATTTTCATATTACCAATCTTTACTGGTTTTTATATAATTTTTCTATTTTTTAAGATTAGTCCTGATATGACTGGAGGAAGGGTGCGCTGAAAAACCTGGTCGAAATAGGGCGCTGCAATCCAAAAAAAGTTTGGGAATCCCTGCACTAAACAGTATAATAGCGCTAAAGAGATGTAATTAAATTGTAAAGGACCCAGAAAAATGATTTGACACTTACTCTGGACCACGAGTAGCAGATTTCATATTCTGGGACCTAGACAATTTATTCAAATAATAATCCTCTTTTAAATTACCATTTGCTAACAGCTAACATATAATATTTTTTGTGCTACTATTTAATTTTCTTAATGCACATTATAAAACTGGGCTGGATTTGACTAATATTACATTGAAAAAATGAAATGGTATAATAGTGTTGATATTGAACTACAAATTTCAGTTTCAAATAATGCAAGCCAAGGTTTCCAAAAATTGTATGGTTAACGGCATCAGGATATTATAAAATACAGGGACGTAATAATACGTCTGAAGCCTAGAATGGTGTAAATGTTTTGGACTTAATAGTACGTTTGGAGCAATGAAAAGGTTAGTTCTAGCTACAATAGCTTAATATTTAATAATAATTTAAGGAACATATTTTTGTGTAGACAATAATAGAAATAAATTTTTCCTAAGAAAATTAAAATTAGTTGATCTTTATTTAATAAATTTAAACAATTTAAAATCTAATATAATGAAAATTTTGTATCATTTTATTCATTAGATATTGTCAAGATGGTATTAGGTATTATTTTTAAAATTAAGAGGCCATTATGAATTATTTATAAAAATTTACTAACTTATAATACGGAAAAATATTAGTATGTTTTTCAGCGATAATCTAAAAACATTGTGTGTGCATTTTATATTCTACATTATTTTTTTATAAGTAATAACAATTATTGGTAAGAATCAGTTTTAAATTTAAATAATTTTCTCTTAATTCAAAATATAGTCCCCTACTAAAACATTTAGATAAAGCCTATAATTTTACTACATTAAAGATAAGAATAGACATAAGTTGATTTAATAATTTCTTAAGTTCATAATAAATAGCTACCTACTATACTATCTATATAACTAATTACAGGCACGTACACAACAACAAATTGGGTGGAGGTTCACCCCCTGTATACGTGCTTGACTAATTAGTTAATGTGAACATACACAAAAATAAATAATAATTAATAAAATGAAATTCTACTATACAAATTCAGTTACACCCGTAACAGTGAAACTCCTACAAAATAGCATAACAATATTTAGACTTTAATATTTAATAACTTCAAAAATTGTTCAAATTTATGATAAATAATTTAATTACGTATTTTTGTCCAATGATTGTTGCAATATTATAAATTATTATAGAAGTTAATATTCAGAATTAAGGTTATATTGTTATTTATTTTACTTATTAGTTATTAAATATTAGTATATGATTTCATGCAAAGCAATAGCTAATAAAATTCTATATTAATATTGTTGATAATATATTAATATTATTAGGTTTGCCCAGTACATTAAATTAATTAAGAGTATTCATGTGACTAAAAGCAGCCTATAATAAGTACGTATGTTATAGTGTTATATTATACGTTTTTAATTTTAATTCTTAAAATAATTAAATTGGTTGATTTATATTTTGGTAAATGTAATGCAGTCTTAATATTATTACTTACGCGAAAACACAAATTAACAAGAATATCATCACAGGTTTCATAAATGAAAAACACATGCATGGTGCCATTATTGAGATATATGTTTTTTTTTCACAGCACAATGAAGCTATAATAAAGTAGTTTGATATTGAAAGATCTATAATACAACAATCCTGTAACATAATATTTAATCCATAGCAGTCAATGCTAAATTCAGCAGGCTATCTACATTTTTATAGAATGCATGTTAATATTTTATATTATGATGATACAGTAATTATTTAATAATTAATTTACTTTTTTATGAGTACCTAATGTTTAGAATTAAATTAAATTTGCAATTTACATTTTCAAAGAGTATCAATATTTTTAATGAATCAAAAACAATTCACTGCATATACAATTATTTTTGAATATAGTAAAATAATAATATACAAGTATAATAAAATACAGGAAAAATATTAAAGAATTTCAATACATAAAAGCAAATATTCATAGTTAATAACTATTAATATATAAATTATATGAGATAAAATCATATAAATGCCCCAGAGGATGAAACCAAATACATAAAAAATTATTTAAAAACTAGTTTATAAAAGATGTTGGATGAAAAAAAAAATTTTATTATTATCTCACCAAAATTATCATATTCTAAAATAAAAATAAAAACTATTTCAGAATGATTAGATATGTAATAAGAACCAGGGAAATCGCTGTACTCAGTACTGTAAAGTAGATTATATAGGTCCTTTTAATGTATATTATGTTGAATTTGAATTCAATGATAAGTCATTGTATACAATCGAAAACAATTTTGAACGGAGATGGTCTGTCAGCCGATAGAACGGTATAAATAATGAATAGAATCGTGGAATAAATAGCTTAAAATAAGTCTAAATATTTTCCAAATGTCATTGTGTATGGAAAATAATAATTATGTAATGGCAAAAAGTTTCAATTATCAATGGTTAATATTTTAAGAATTACAATAAAATTAATATAATAAATTTAAATTTAATTTGACCAATATCTATTGTGCAATTTCTATATTTTGGATTATTAAAAAACAGCTTATAAGGAATCTAAATTCCTCTATTAAATTTTCTAAAATTTAATAATTTAAATATTCTATAAACAGCTTAAATTGGTTAAAATATTTTGAATATTTCATTGTGTTTAAAAAATAATAATTTAAGTAAGGGTAATAGTGAAAAAAAAATGTTGTAAAAACCAAGTAAAACCAATATATCATTTACTCTGCTCAGAATCTAAACCATAATGGAATAGAAACATTGTGTGATCAAATGCAGTACATTTTTTTTTTTAAGTGGCGTGTTACCGGTCAACACTGATTTATTGAACATTTTTATTTGTGATAAATCATCAATGTGGTGAATATATGTACCCGCAAGTGAATTGTCTAGATTCTATTTAAAATTGGATGGAAGTAACTCTATTTAATGTACATTTGTATGACTATTATACTTAATCTACTTTAACATAATTGTATCAACTTAAAAATTATCAATTTCGATTATTCAAACAAAATTTATCACAAATGATTAAAAGTTATTAAGTCATCAACAATTCTGTATTGATTTTTAATTTTTATGATGAATATTATAGTTTATTTTTGGGATCTATCTGAAATATATTACACTTGTTGTTATTATCACATTCGTTTGTAAGTTGTAACTATGTTGATGTTTATTAAAGATTTATTTTCAAAACAATATAAATACTGACAAATTAACATTAATTTCAAAAAATGGAGATGCTAATAGAAAAAAAACTAATTATGATTAATTAATTTGTTTGGGTAAATAATATATAACATTATATATTTATATTCAATGTAAATACATTAGGTATAATTAAACTAGCAGTGAGAACACAACTAAATTATTATATGACTCATTATTAGTAATCAAATGTGAATAAACTATTTACATCTAACATTCAATATGGTTCAAAATAAATGAAAATAAATCGATAAAAAATACTGTTTAAATGATATTTAAAAAAAAAAAAAATATTTTATCTAGCACCAATTTTCATAAACATTGATACTTCACCATAACCTGTGCTCATCAGCCCCCATAATATTAGCTAGTGTAATATTTTATGAACATTACTGAACATATTTTTTCAACATCAAGTCATTAAAAACAACATATACAACCTATACATTCCCAAGATAAAGCTGAAGGCTCAACAATTATTAACTGTTTTCTGTTTGTTATACGCACTATAGTCATAATATTTATTATAGTAAAATTAAAAATACAATTCTTCAAAAAAAAAAAAATTTATCCATTGTGTATGCCGAAGTTTAGTTATGTATACAGAAAGTAGCAGATTTAAATAAATAAATGGGAATATGCAAAATTGGTAAAAAAAAAGGTGTTGTTTATAATTTTTTTTTTTTTTTTTATTAGGGTTAAGGCTTTGACAACTAAGGTCATTAGCTTATGGTACTATAGGGGGGAGGGGGGTACTAGAGGTTTGTTAACACGTGTGTGCTTTGGCAGAATTTTTGATTTGGGCACCCATAGGTATCTGCCATGCCCGTGTGGGGGATGGCGGCACTTGTTCTCCGGACACAGTGACTTGCCCGAAGAAAAATGCCGCCCAAAGCCGGGAATCGGTCTGGCGAAGGCTACGTCGCAACAGACGCCTTAGACCGCTCGGCCCCTCCGTCCCCCAAATAATTATTATTTACAATATTTTAAACATTAAATAAATGGTTAAGACTCGGAACTGTAAAAGATCAATAATATTTATTT